TAATATAGTGGATTTAAAAATATGTGTTTGTCAACCATGATGTTTTCATTGTAAGTTTTTTACTAGATAGCTTTGTAATCTAGAAAAAAAAATCACTTATCCTAAGAAGTAAAGGCAATGTATACTCTTTTAAATAATTTGCACATATGCATATAAGAATAACTTTTCATATTTAAAAATTATATTTTACAGTAAATAACAATGAGAATGGGTTTTAGTTTGTTTTGTTGTTTTTCATTGCATGTAAATTTGGGACAAGGAAAACGTCTAATATAGCTGGTTATAAAGTAATATATGTCAGGAACGTCTCTCCTTGGAACTTCTAAGAACTTTCTAAGACCATATATTACTTCCCTACTACGGAACCATAATCCGTTAACCATAAATCTGCTATGGGAGGAGGAATAAAAATACTAGACTAAAGTATTAAGGTATTTAGGCAGATTTTATATAATCTTAAAATGAAAAGATCAATTGTGCTTTAGCATTAGTTCTGCTTGTCTGAATACCAGCCATGTTTTTGCTATCTATATACTAAATGTTTAACTACTAAATAACTTTACGGCAAACATTTCTAAAGGCAACCACAAATACAATATATTCTACATCATTCATACATTAAAATATTAATAAATAAACCCCATTTTGTTATGACAGGAAATCTTAAAACAGGAAGTAGGAGTTAAAGGAAAAGGGAAAATATGAGTAGGTCATTTCATTTTTGAGGTAGGTTTTAAAATTAATCTAAACTCCCTTGAGAATGTCCTTATGCTCTGTACCTTGAGAACATTGTTTTAGATTCACCAATTCTTCAGAATTTATTAGTGACACCTCTCAAATTAGACAGGCAACTGACTGGTTCAACAAAACTAATTAACTAAATTGGGAGCATAATTGTATTTATACTTTTTGATAATTTGTATTGTAGATTTTAGAGATAAACCTCACTAATCTGATTCCTAATATTCACTAACTATCCAGAATTCATCTGTAAATAACTATGGTAATTTTATTAGGATTCACATGATTCTGCTTCAAAAATTACATGTGCAAAATTTTACATTATTAATATTATAATTATCAGTTACAGATTTAATGTTATGAGAAAATAGTGTGAGAAAATCAACTCTGAGAAAATAGTGTGAACACCTATAATGTTACAGCTTGCTGCTTTTATCATAAAGGTAAAGAAATGTTGACAACAAACCTAAAACTTTTCTTTGGTCAAAGTATTTTTACTCCTTTTTTTTTTTCATTTTAACTATAAACTGTTGAAATTGTATTTTAAAGATAAATTTCAGTCACTTTTGTGTGGTGTGCAATGTGCACTTTGCAATTGACTTATAATTGGACTATGCTGACAATGGAAAATCATACAAGTATTGAACATGACATTTATGACAATATTGCTGTCATCTTGGCTTCTTTTATTGAATATGCAGAGAATTATAATTGGGCTAACAAGCCTGGTAGCCTGGCCTCTTTCCAATTATATTAACCAGCCTAGTTGAGTATTAGCTGCCTGAACAGACACTGATTAGGCATAGAGCTTTGTTTTCTTTCCTATTTTATTTTTGTATCTAACCAATAATCTAAGAATAAGATTGTCTGCCTCCATGTAACCTTGAAGAATTTTCAATAATTCACCTCCATTTCACTGAGAAATGTAAAGAAAGACAAGCCTTCCCTATATTTATCTCATTAGTTTTTAGTAAGACAATGTTTTTAAGTTAAAAATTGGTTGTATCTGATACATATTAAATATGAATATTTGTCTAATAATTTATAAAGGCTTTTGGCAATGTTTTTTGAATTCAGGCTAAAATTTTAAAATAATGAATTTGAAACTTAAGAAAAATGTGCTTTCATCTGACCAAGTCGGTATACTGATGCATTGAAATATTTTCTTTGAAATGGAGGCAAATAATACTTTTTACCTAATCTAAAGATTTATTTTAGCTTTGAGTAGCTTTAAATACAATACAAAGTTAAAAATAATTCCTGATGGTTAGACTTCTGAAATATACTATAATTCTGGAAAGAATTAATAACTGAATTTTTAATTGAAAAGCCAATATTAAGAAATGTTAAATGAAACAGTTTGTGGTTTACAATATCAAGTACATTACAGTGTAGCAATTATTTGGAACACTAGATTCTGTACTTTTGTTTATCTCTCTTTTTTTTCTCTAGTTTTCTGTTTTTCTTTTACGTTATAGCATTCAATATACTTGCACATTTCCTTTAGAAACATTCCCAAGCCTACCATCTGCAATATTTAAAGTATTTATCTTTGTCAGTGATTCTTTGACTAGAAATATGAAAACAATCTGGAAATTTATTCTACAGAAACAAAAAACCACAAAATACCACTAAAGCATGTGAGTTATATGGCACAGGGTGTATATTGTAGTATTGTTAGTAGCAGCAAGATATATATATATATATATATATATATATATATATATATATATATATATATAAAACAAGCAGCCTGATGGTTTATCAATAGAAAAATAGTCCTATACTTCATATGTGCTATATACAACTAGTAAAATTGGTGAGTTAGAACTTTGTGTATTAACCTGGAAAATGGGAAAAGCAGACTGCAAAGTAATGTGTATAGCATTATCCTATTTTTTTTTGGGGGGGGGATATACACAAAATATGTATGTTACTAGTTTTTATAATAATTCCAAAATTAATTTTTCTAACATTAGTAAATGGTTAACATTGATTATTTCAATAGCTAACACTAGAGAAATATAAAATATTGTTTTTTTTACCTATATCACCTCTAATTTTTTAGATGCATCAATTTTATAATAAAAATAAACAATGAAGAAAAATAACCATTAAATAGGAGTAAATTTCTTGGTAAAAATAACTTAAATTTTGTTTTAATATTAATCATTTTAGGGACTTTAATCATAGTAACAATATCACAATAAAACTGGTAGCTTAGCCCTAGCTGGTTTGGCTTGGTGGATTGAAGGGTCTGAGGACTGAAGGGTCCCAGGACCAGTCAAGGGCACATGCCCGGGTTGCAGGCTGCAGGCTTGATCCCCAGTGCGGGGCGTGCAGGAGGCAGCAGACCAATGGCTCAATGATTCTCTCTCATCATTGATGTTTCTATCTCTTTCTCCCCTCTTCCTTCTCTCTAAAATCAACACACACACACACACACACACACACACACACACACACCATATTTTCCGGCGTATAAAACGACTTTTGAAATGAAAAAAAGTCTACCGAAAATCGGGGGCAAAAGACCAAAATTGCAAAAAAATTATCTGCAGATCTTGATGGCAAATTAAGTCTTTTCTTTGAAGTGGGGGCTAGTCTTACACAGCGAATATAGGCCTAAACCTATTTTTGTTTTACCTGTAAAATTAGGGGGTCATCTTATATGCTGGAAAATACGGCGTATTTGATTTATTGGTAGTTTAGGTTTAGATCATTGTTTTTTAGTTTGAATTTTTTATCTTCATAACAATATTGTGAACATTCTCCCTCTCAAGCCAAATATATTCTCATTTTAAAGCTGTGGGATAATCAGAGATTGAATGGGCTTTAGCAAGGTTGAGGTTCTTTTGAAATATTTTTGTCTTAATTAATATATTTTTATCTGAAAAATATATTAAAAACTTAATGCACATTCTTGTATAAGTTTGTGAAAGATAAATGTTAACAGTAAGATCATAATTGTAAACAAAAATTAAATTATCTGTGAGTAGTATGACATATCTAGAAATGCTAGAAAATTTTATTTAGCTTTAAATAACTTGAAAGAATGAACGATAGACTAACATTTTCTATATATGTTTCATAAGTACTTGATCTAAAATCTAAATTAAACATCATTGAAGGTCAGTATGCCCAAGTAGAGACTGCTTATTGTCCAATTAAGGGATGGGTTACCAATTCATCTTTAACATCATTTAGAGAATGAAAAAGACTATCTTCATTTTTAAATAGTATTTAAATGAAAATAGAATATATCACTTCAAAACATTTAGAGGTCTCTAGTTATGCATTTTGTCTAGAAATCTCCCTTTGAGTAAAGAACTCTCCTTTAGGTCTGTTTTAACTTCCTCATTAAGTTTCCTTCTAACCCCAAATATTGTTTACCACTAGACATAAACAAGCTTAAAATAGTACTTTTTAATGGTAATAATGCCCTTTAAAGTAACAGAGTTTTCTAATTTCATGGCTATGTGCTCAACCAAAAATAAAATAGCCAGAGATGCTGCTTTGGGATTGTTGACCTGATGTTTGCAATTCAGTCGATGACTCAGTGCCTTAAATCCCAATAGCATAAGGGGTTTTAGAGTCACATACACCTATTCTAAAATCTCACATTTGCTTTTTTCCAACTATGTCACAGTCAGCAAGTAATTTGACGTGTCTATGTCCCAGTTTCTATGTTTCTGAGGCAAAGGTCACAAAACTCCCATCTTGAGCTTGTTGCTGGTCTTTAGAGGAATAAGTATGGGAAGTGTCAACCTCAGTCTCCGGCACTGAGTAGTAAGCATGCAATAAATACAAGTGGCTTGTCCTTGTGATTTCTCCAAACTTTGTGAGCTATATTTTAATACTCAAATAATCTGAAATATATTTGAATTATATATGAGTATTTCTTTAATTCAATTGTAACTTAAGCTTTGAGTTATTATAAAAAGGAAATAGAGAAAGATTTACAATCCTCAATGGAATTAGGTGCCTGTGTTGCTTGGAATTTCAGCTGTGTGGCTCCTATCTATTTTTTTCTTTCTTATTCAAGAAGTTAGATCACATACTAACAAAATATAAGCAATTGTCATTTTCCTTGTCTAATGCCCTATTCATCAAAAGTATGTTGATCATGTAATAATAAATGCATCTATTTAGACTTTAGCTAAAAGTACTAACATACCTCTTTTTCTTATTAGAGACTCTGTTTAATATCTAATCTCTGTTTGTTCTCTTCTTCTTGTGCAATCTTTTCTTGGAACCAGCTGCTGCTTCAAAAAATAAAGTTAAAGGTGAGCTCCTGTCTGTTTTGCATGATTCATCATGATTCATTTTTCTGCTCACTCCTCTAAGTCCTCTTAAATGATGAGCCAGTTATGTTGGTGATAATATTAGTTCAGTATATAAATATTCATAATGAATTTTTAAAAATATAAATTATATATATATATAATTTCAATTATTCAGCTTCTGATATATGTCTGTGTTTGCATGATGATTTGTGAGATTTTTTTGTTTTATTTTTCACTTTAAGCATTGCTTTTGTGCACTAATATTTTGTCTTTTAACCTTTGTTTCTTTGGAAAAATTGAAAATTGGAAAAATATGGCATAAAATAGGCTGATGGAAAATCTCAAAATTGAATACACCCTTCATAGAATTATCTGAAGAGAAAATGTTACCTTTAAAAATAATATTATAAATTGTGGGTTGCTATTTATGATTTCCTAGTCGCATTAAGTTTGCATTTGCTAGAATTCTAAAATATATATTTTCACAAGGAAGGATGAACTTGTCTAATGCCAGAATGTTTTCATGAAAGAAAAATACTTTTGGTTTAATGGGCCTGCCTTTATGGATTTGAAAGAATTCTGATATATGTATAATACTGTGTCATAGGTTTAAGTTTATGTTTTAATTTCATACTCTCTACAACAATGTGTGTGTATATATATATATATATATATATATATATATATTTAAATTTCTCCTTCTTATAAAGCAAATACATATTTTTCATCTTTCATGTATTATTATGCAACAAAACTGCAATTATCTTATTGGTCATATATCTATTATCTTCAATTTTCTTATCCACAGAGTGTGAATAAACAATTAATACTTCAAAAGATTGTTGTAAAAGTTGAATTAGGTAAACATGTGAAATGACTAGTATTCTTCCTGTTGCTACTTGCGTTTTAAACAATGCTGGTTTCATTCTGCTTCTCACAAAACTGCCTCTTCTTTGCGGAGATTTTTCTGACTTTTCATCACTTATGTTGTGGTATCTATTATATCCCTGTGTGTGCTCAGAAGAAACAAACTGGTGATTTTGTCTCTTTCTCTACTTCTCATATTCAAATTTATCCCAAGGCCAATCTTCTCTATTATCCTTCTCCTTCAAGCCCTGCCCTCCCACAGGTTTTAGTTTTATAGCTAGTTTCAACACTATAACAGAGTCATCTTTGAAATGTTAACTGCTCCCTATTTATAAGGCTAACCATTTAGTGTGCAAGTACTATTTTCCTAGCAACATATTTGTTTTATAAAATATTAACGATATGATATGAAAGACAAGATGGCAAATCTATCTACATTTGTTGTATCCTCTATATCTAGCCTACTATGTGTTTTTGCTGGTGGAGAGAATGGCACCAGGTGTTAGACCTGTGGAGTCTGACAGGATCTCAGTTCAGCAACCTTGGTGACTGAGTTCTAGCTAGGAAAGAATTCAGAGTCAAGACTCAACCAATAAGAGAAAGTTTATTTAGAAAACCGCTGAGACAGAAGAAGTGATCAGTAGAAGAAACGGGGCCAGGAATCAAATTACATTATGGAGGCAAAGGAAAGGACCCTCAGAACTTCAGAGAGAGAAAGGTCAGGGCAACTTGCTTAGGTGGAAGTGGAGGAGTGGAAAGGCACTGGTATGCTCCAGAGGAGGAGCACACTGGGTCCTCTTGAGTAAGGGCTTTTAAGGGTGGGTATTGTAGGGGAGGTCCTAGGAAAGGATCCCAATAGAATATCCATCAGCTTTCCAGGTGTGTCATTTCAGAGTCATGGTTAGCACCATGGCAAGGAGTCAGTAGTCAGTGCAACTGGTCTTGAGGTTATCTGTGGCATCACTTGTCTGGTTTTGTTGTCTTTCTGGGCCTGGAGCTGAAACACAACTGAGGGTTAGATGTTATCCCTGGGGGTTAATGTTTAAAGCAGTGGTCTTGCAAGGGCCCTCATGGGAGTCACAGGAGGCCTCTCTTGGTTCCTTGTTTCTCCTCCAATGAAGTCGACCTCACAGCTATGGACATGTTAGGAGAAGACAGGTCAAGGGAGGATCCAAGCTGCATGGCTAGTGATATGAATGGTCAGGGGGTCTAAATGATGACCAGGGTGTACTAGGTAAGAAGAGGTTACCCTGGAATTAAGGTCCTTGCTTTTCCAATTTGCCTGTTGGCACACAGGACCTTCTATACCTGCCCTATCATTCCTGCTGTGCTCACGTCTGTCTAATTGCCTACCACAGTTTCTGTAAATGTGTTAGAATAATTATTTAGGCTGGAGTTCTCAGAGAATGCTTTATGTGGTAGATGAGGCTTGAACTGATTATTGATGGTTGGGTAAGATGTAGAAAAGATTAGTACATAGAAAAAATAACAAAAGCATAAGTAAATGTATATATAGAGAGATAAATGAGTATAATGAATACAGGTTTTGAGGAAAGACCTGTGTAATTATGGAAGAGGAAGAAAATAAATGTGTTGATTCAATAAGCAATTGAGTGATTGTGAGCCATTACTGTATTGACTACATGAAACCTCTTGTAATAATCAAATGTATGATCACCTAATAATTCTTAAAAACAATGGAAATAATTCAAATTATAATATATGTTACAAAGTATTAAGTACAGAAAAACAATTTACCAATGAGGGTTTATAGGCATAAATTATATTACAGGTGTCTGTTAAGTCATGTCAGAAATCAAGCTGGCTAGGATTTTGCAATGCACATATGTTTCTGCCCACAATTTGGTGCACTTCACATCACCATTCCTATTGTTCTACAGCTATTTATTTTATATAAATCTCTTTCTCCAATTGTGTACAAGCCTGCAGGAAGCTTTGGGACATAGTTTACCTATGTTTTTGCATCTATAAGGTCTTATAGAGACCAGAAATGACAATTTCTAAAATTAACTGTACCTCAAATAGAAATTGAAATTTTATATCTATCAATTGAAATATGTATATTATATAGAGATAATAATATAAATACTCAATGCTTTTATTGACCAATTTCCATGTTAAGGAAAATGACATTCCTTAACATGAAAAATAAAAAAAAGTGGGTAAGAGGAAAATAAAACCCAAGATAATATAAAGCACATAGTTGCTTAGAAATAGTTCATTTTCTGGTCCAAACAAAGCACATTCCAGGGAAACAAGGGGAGTTTTGAAGAGGCTCATATCTCATTCATTTCTTCCATGAAATCATCCAAATGTAGGGAGCCTCTGAAATATAGGAGAGAGGCATGTGTCCTGATATATATATATATATATATATATATATATATATATATATATTTGTAAGAATTACATTCCAGAACATAAAGACTAATGATATTTTGACATTAACTTTCCAATAATTTTTTAAACAAACTCTTAAAATAATTTATGGGTGTTTACATTAAAAGAGAGTATATACTAGGAGTCAACATTCATTTATAATGGAGTAGGAAATTGCCCTAATTCTCTCCTTATTTTTTTATATTGGTTATTATAACAATGTCTGAGGACAAAATTATAAATAGGTCTGAATTTCATTAAATCATTTAAAAGCTAGTTCTTTTATGCACTTTGAAACTTTCATTCTGAAGGCTACCAATTATTATTTTTTAAATTTTATTTTATTGTTTAAAGTATTACAAATAGTAGCATATAAGTCTCCTTTTTCCCCCCATTGACCTTACTCTGGCCTCCCCTACCCCTGGCACATGACCTTACATCCCCCCCACCAAAATGTCTTCTGTCCATTGGCTATGTTATATCCATGCATACAAGTCCCTCAGTTGATTTCTCCAATGGTAGTTTCCCAATCTTCATATTACTCATTTTATTTTGCTGAATACACATTTTTTATTTTGACTTTATTTTGCCCTTGATTTCAGTATCTCCATGCAAAATTTATTTATGTATTTGTTTGTTTTCTTATTTATTTACTCTTCTTTCTGTTTTTATATCTTGTTCTGGAATATATATTTCATTCAGATTAGACTTTTTGATCCCTGAAAAGAATACTTATTGCAGTGCTGCTTCAGTGTTCCACATCCCTTTTAAGAGATGAACTTTAACTTCTACAAAATAAAGAAAGCAGCCTTTTTCTAGATGATTATGTATCCACAACCAACTTCTCATATCATTGTTGACTATTAAGAGAAAGACAAAGGATCTAATAAAATTCCTCTGCTGAAAACTTAAAACTGGGAAGGGAGAAAGGAGAGTGAGAGGAAACTGAAACTGACAAGAAAAAAGAGAGAGAGAGGATCAATTTTGTTAAACCGTGGCCATGTTTTTTGTATGTAGACTGAATAATAACATTAATTAAATCAAGAAAAGAAAGTTGAATGTACAAAGAGAGGGCAAGAGAATGACCTCATGTTGCTACATTTTGAAGGTCTTTTATCCTTGAGGAAGGCCTTTTAATTAAGCTTTCTAGATGGGTTTATCTTTCTTGCAATCAAAAGGTAAACAGCTACTATAACTGCCTTCTTTGTCTGAATGTTTCTTAGTTGATTTCAGTTAATACTTTTCTTGACTTGTTCCTACCACTAAGCTTTTATTTGCTATTTTCATTCACCCTCCTAAACATTTTCACCTGAATATTAAAAACTGAAACTCATTTTTTTTTGTAAATCTGAGACCTAAGGATTTGTTGTGTTTTCTCATGAACAAATATTTTCCTAACTCTGTAGTTTAAAATAATAGAGAATCTTTAACTTCTTTGCCTTAATGCCCCCCATAACCAATTAATTATCAAATTGTCCTTCTTTGATGGGGATACAATTATCCTGATTATGTCCTACTTTTACCATGGGAATAGTAGATTTTCCATGGGACTCTTCTTCAAACTACTCATTTCTCAGAACTGGCCTGGAGAAGTTCCTACCTTATCTTCTGTTTCAATCCTTGATACCATACAATCTATTCTACATTCATATATCACAGTAAATTTTTAAAAAGGTCAACAGTTAGAGGTAGATAAAAAGGTACCCTAAAGTGTTCCTACATTTTTTGTATAA